GACAAAGGAGTAAATTTTTCTATAAAAGTAGGAGGAAGGGGAGAAATGAAATCCAATGCAGGTATCAGAGGCTGTGGAATGCTACGAAGTTTAATAAATGAAAACGCTAACTCATTCAGAAGATTAATTGACCAAGAGCAACCATATGTTGAAGTATGCGTATTATGATTTATCAGAATCTTAAAATAAAGGTTAATTGGCACAATAAAAAAACATTTTGGATCTTTATAAGTAATGCGAGTTGGAACAAAGGCCTGGTTATCATACATTGGGCAACGAGTGCAATCCGAAAGTGAGGTCCTATAATCAGCTCCATTAGTGGGTAGCATATAGAGAATATGTGCATAATGTTCTTCAGTTTTGAGTAGTTTACCAACAAAGGGTGTATTATGACCATAGTTTCAACTTAAAACAAAAGTTGTACAGCCAGCAATCTTGTTTGGTAGTGAAAAATCGTAATTACAGTTATTCTGGTAAGGATAGGAATTGCGAGTAGCTCTAGACTCATCATTATGTAATAGTTTATTCTGAAGCATTCTAAACCAACGAGGTATATGCCCAGTCAAAGGCAGACCTTGTTGCATATTAAAATCGAATAAAAGCGAGTATTTTCTAAGATGCATGACAAGGGATCTAAAATCGTTCGGAATCAATGAAGATATAGGTATTTTCGCCTTTGATAAGACCTAGGTTGGCATCAGGCAGTTGGGCAGAGATCTGATTGTTTTTCCAATTACACAGTAAGTTCGCTATCCAATCGTTCGAATTCAGGTAGCGAAAATATGGCCAATTGAAGAATGGTAATATATGAAGCCATTCTTTTTGTTGTAACTGTTTGATACGTAATCGTGTAGTGATTCCTAAGAGATTACTATCATTGAGCGAAAAGAGTAATGCTTCACTCTGTGTTGCAAGTAATCTATGATAGAGTCTAATGAGACCATAGAAATGACTTGAGTGAAACACAGAAGATGGTGAATCACGTGAAAAATGCAACTTCTTTTTTATAAAAACACAGTATGGGAAGTCGATCGAATCACATTGCGCAGCAGTCAACGCTGTCAATTGGGCACGATATTCGAACCTTGGAGTGAGTACAGTGTTGAAGATATACACTATTTGTTTGTCAGTCAGTTTCTTTTTGAACATGACAGTGGTAGCGTTTTTGATATCGT